AATTCAATATCAAGGAAAAATTATCAGGGATAGCATTTAATTCCATCTATTTTTTACAGTTTCGCCACCCCTTAATCGTCGATGCCTCAGCCATAAAACTAAACAGATACCAAACGGACTCCATAGCGACCGATTTTTAGCCATGGCATTATTTGTACTGTTTCGTTTTTAACAGGCGGCCTAGTCTAAACAAATTCTTATCTTTTTTGTGAAATGATTATGGTGATTGTTACAATATGATTTATTATTGATACAGGTGTTTTCATATCTTCTCAGAACTGTATTGATCAATAAAGCTTGATCGATATAAAAGTTTGATCCCAAAAAGTTCTGAGAATTAATAAACCATATTTATCAAGAATAATTCATACTTTCACAATCATTTCATTAAAGACGTAAGAAAATGTTATTCCAACTTTATGGGCAACGGTAAATGAAAAGTACGCAAAGGAAATTGAGAAAGAAAAAGCTCTTTTGACAAAATACAGGCCAGTACATGCATGACCAATAATATTTGCTTTCTCGGCTGTTTCCTGAGCAAACATTTTATCTACTTTTTCATCACAGATTCATTATTTACAGAGGTCTACTTATCATGTTTATACATGCACATGACTGCACAGTTGTACCTGTGAGAATTCCTACAATAGCTTTTGTGTGCGTTAGCGGGGATTCGTGCAGGGCGGTTGAGGAATGGAACATAATTATTTAAATACTTTCATTTCCATCTTGGAGACCGAGAAATTGTAGCAGTGTCATTGAATAGTTCCTGAATCATGTGATCTATTAAAGCCCGTATGCACTAATATGGCCAGGGGTTAGATCTCCCTGCGTGGTTACTGACAGGTGGTTATCTCATCAAATCAGCTCTCAATTAACATAAGAAAAAGGGATCGTGGGGGACCAACGGGTACCGCTTAGGCATTGTTTGCTATATAGAGGGTGCAAGTAGCTACACATAGTGCAGTCCTGCTTTAACTGAAATATTCACTGTATACAGATCTATGCGAGATTTTCGGACATGCAAACAGAATTTCTTTATTGTTCCTCATATTCGGGTAAATACATCTGATAAACGTTCGTTTGCTCATGCTGCACCCAGTCTTGCAAAAATATAACAGATACAAAAGGAACTAAGTAACCTATTTTCTTTTTGCTTTTCTTTTCCTTTTGTCTAGAAGCGCATATAGCTTCATTCTGTAATGCGCTATACACAAATAGTATAGTATTAATGACTGCTTTGAGAGAAATAGTTGTTTTATTACGCTCAAGGGAAGGTTAGAATTGTGCTATTCCCCGAGGCTTGCCGAGGGGAATAGCCCAATTGTAACCTTTCCGAGAGCGTATGAAAACAACTATTTCTCGAATATTAAAGCAGTCATTAATACTTTTATATGCCGAAAAAAAATAGACTAAAAAATGAAAAATTAAAAATATTTATCAATTTGTCGAAGACGGGATTCGAACCCTTGCGTACAACAAGAGGTGTACCGAAAACCAACGCTCAGACAACTCGGCTATGGCCCGCCGTTAACATGCATGGCAGTTTTCTCCAATATATACATTAAAATGGATTGAAACCGGCTTCGCGTGTGATGAATGCTTCGCAAAAGCTCCATATACGGACTCTTCTTTTACTTTTGCAATGCATATTGGCACGAACTTAGATCAAGATCTATCGGCAGATGTTGTTTTTTTGTTTTTGGAAGTTTATTTTCGTCTTCATGTCAACAATGCAAGATAAAATTGTCGGTAAGATCGATCGAGATTCAATTGTATTGAAATTACCGACCAATCCTTCGCACACATACGGCATCCTCCATCGCTCAAACCATTTTTTAACATGTAAACCTATGGGGTAACCATGGAGGCTGACCAACTGTTTTTAATAACCATGGTTATTAAAAATATTGAAATGTTTTATGCATGGTTACCGAGAATTTTACAGGAACAGTTGAAGTTTATGAATGCAATTCGACCAATCAGATGGCTGGATTTCTTAAGTGAGGTATATAATTCATTTTATGGGTGTGTGCCAACAAAATTACTCCGCCTGACAACATCGTGCTGGATTGGCAGCATTAGGGACTTTTAGATTTGCACGATGGAGAACGTGGACTGCCCTTTTAAGGCAATGTAACGTCACTGCCAGTGCCTTAAAAGGACGTCACATTGCCTTAAAAGGGCAGTCCACGTTCTCCGTTGTGCAAATCTAAAAGTCCCTATTGTTACCTTTGGCCCCGCCTTTGGCTCCTTTTCTCTTTCTTTCTTTCTTTTTTGCATGAGAAAAAAATAAACGGATGACGTAAAAGAGTTGTCCTATCAATACGATCTCTCTCTCTTTCTCTCTCTCTCCTTATTCACAGTTTTCCCTTTCCTCCCCAACCATCATCTCCATACATGTATTTTGTTACATACTCTCTTTCTCTCTCTCCCCCGTCCCCTCTCCCTCTCTCTCTCTCTCTCTCTCTATCTCTTGGTTCTTCCTTATACCTTAGTCATACCAACGAGACCGACGCCGGACCGACAACAAACCGAACCAAAGATTGCATTACACCAAACGGCTCTGAGTCGGTCGGTTTCGGGTCGGGGTTTGGCGGTGTGACTGAGTTATGAAAGTTTACAAAGCTAATGTTAAACAAAAAACATGTTCCATCATTCATAAAAAACATACAAAACACGGAAAGCTACTCTTACGATACATTACGTTGCCGTTTATTAATTTCTATACCATTTGTATTACTACTGAAGTGAACGAAATACTACTGTTCTTCAATCTCTACTGAACTAAACTTTTGGGCAGACTAATACCCCATTGAATTAAAGTAGTATCATAACTATATATAGATCTACTAATAAGCCCAACTACTTACTGTGATTAGCTTATTTTGTCTACCCTTTGGCTGAGAAAAAAGACAAAATTCATTTTATTGATAAATGTTTTAATTTTCAATTTTATGATGTAAATATGAGCTGTGACAAAGGTCTATAACTAAATACAAATATGTATATATAAAAGAAAAACAGAAAAACAAAACAGAATGAGATACATACATTCTTTTCAAAATTACAAGTGTCGAAAATAACTGTTGTACTCTTTTGTGATTAACAAAAAAAGAAGAAGTTCATTTGACTCAATTCCGCGGACGCGAAATCATTATTCAATTCTATTTCATTCAGGATTTATAAGAAAAAACATGGCTTAAGTTTACAAAACCGGCTAAAATCATGCAAATATAACCCCCCAAGCTTGCACAAAAATCACAATGGCTACATTTTAGAATGATTATGTATACAAATCCAAGAGGGAAAAATACAGAATAGAAATATATATCTAAACAGAATTATCATAATGATCCTTCTAACTTTCTGTTTAGTTGAATGATATAATATCCTCCTCAAACATGTATTAAATATAAATCATGCAATGTACAATTACATGTACATTTTTTTTCTGACTTAAAGGGGAAGTCAACCCGGATGTTATCTTGATTTTGATAAAAGAAGAAAAATTAGAAAAACAAACTAGTGAAAGTTTGAGCAATATCCGATGACACATAGGATAGTTATGATTTTTTTATAGTTTAGTCACGGTGAAACACAAATTGGCAACACTATGGCATATCTTTCATTTTCTTAGTTATTGATGACGTATTATAATAGTTTCATACAGGGGTTTCATACAAAAAAAATATTTACAATAATTATATTTAGGGTGGATTTATAATTTTATGAAAATTTCTTCAGGGAAAGTACAATTTTGTGAAGAGTTTTTTGAGACCTCGAGAGAGAGACGTCACAGAGTTGCCAATTTGTGTTTGATTGATCGCACCTTCAAATATTTCAATCGGATTTTGCTCATACTTTCAGTGACATGTTTCTCTCATTTCTCTGCTTCTTTTGAAATTAACTTTATATTAGGATGGACTTCCTCTTTAAAGCCTATTTACTATATTGATACAATGTTGTAATAATTTTTTTCTTTTCGAGTTGCTATTGTTCACGCACCATTTTAATTTGAGAGCGACAAACGAGAAAGCCCAAATTGAATACAAGTAGAAATGGCAGATTGTGTCTTATTGCGTTTCGATTGAATTAATTTCAACATCACATTAAATTCTTAAAGATTACTAATTCTTAGCAATATTACTGATTTTTACTTTTACTTTTTCAAATTCTGATGTGCATTATTATGAGATTAAAACAGAGCATATGTTTTCTTTATTCACAATATAAACATATTCAACGATGAAAATAATCTTGAATCTAGACATTAGCAATCTCTCCATCTTTTCATACAGTAGTATTGTTATTTGTAACATGCTAGTTCTACTTTCATCAGTGCCCATAACGTTGGAAAAAATCATCCCTCTCGATATGAAATGATTGTGACAATATGATTTACTCTTTATTAATACCATTAATATCTTCTCAGAACTTTACTGATCAATTAAGATTGATCAGTACTGTCACTTTGATCAATAAAAGTTCTCTCTAGATATAGATTTTGTTTTTCAAGAATAAATCAAATTGTCACAATTATCTCCTGAACTTCGAATTCGAACTTTATGGGCAACCGTGTATTATATTCGGGGGGAAAACGTTTTATTTTGTATATATACCTCGAGCCTAAAAAACAGTATCTGCCCTATATGATTCAACACTTACTTTACACTTTATTCTACATCCGGTTCAATGATTTGTTTTACGTTTCAATGTTCTACATCATTAATATCAAGCCAAGGAAAATTCAATGGCCATGTGCGTCATTCAATGTTACCAGGGATGATGTGTCGCCAGACTGTGGATCACATGGTTTGCGGTTCGAGTCCCACCACGGTACCAATGTCCTTTGGCAAGACATTAATCTATATTTGCCTCTCAGTCACCCAGGTGAAGTTAATGGGTACCCGTTTGGAAGAAATTCCTTGAATGCTTTAGCGCCTTATTGTGGCAGCTCAGCTACAGCCGGGGTAATAAAGCGCAGTAGAGTATATTCAAATAGTGGCTGCGCTATATAAATGGACCTATTATTATTATATAAAACATACAATGACATATTGTGTCATCCGAAAATGATTTCTTACAGACATACAATAAGGTAGTCAATTCGCCCTCGAGTTGTTTGAACTCTTCCACGTATCTGAGATCGTGTCTAGGCAACCTTGTCAGTTCTGGGTACCGCACTAAGCGTGACCCCGTTGGGTGGTGTCAGGAAACCAGATCGCCCGAACGTCGGAGGGATCTGAGTGCAGAGAAAGTGGAATGAAAGAATAAACTAAATATACAAAAAATAAAACATACATTGCATGAATAAAGGAGACTCTGAAGATGGTGAAATAGACTATCATCATGCGCAATAGTTGGGGCGATTGAGGTTCTGCTCGTGCTGAGAAAATGAAAAGTGAAATTACAAAGCTACTGTACTGATTAATTTCGGGAAAAATTTTTGGAAGGGTCCCGGCGGCTTATTTTCTGGCCATTTCCCTTCCCTTTCTCTATTTGCTTCCTTTTCTTTCTTTCTTTTTCCACCAGTCGATTGGGGAAGAATTTTTCACCGTGTCACCCCTCTCCCCTCCCCTCGTGTATTAACCTATTCCACTGGCAAAGAATATGGACCATGTTAATGCAAATTTTGCCACTGAATTTCCCAAACACATGTACAGATTACTTGATCTTCGTATTACCTCCGTCTCAGCGCATGTCTCGAAGCGGTAGTTCTGAAGTACGCGCACGACGGCCATCTTGGTTTCCATTAAAGCGAAACGCATCGCGATACAGTTGCGAGGACCGGCTCCGAAAGGTTGCCAAGCGAGCGGGTGTTGCTTGGCCTTGGCTTCTTTGGTGAATCTGCACAGTGGGGGAGGTATAATTAAAACAATCACGTTTTGTTTTGTTGTTGTTGTTTTTTCTTACTTTCTTTATGCTTCAGAAATAATTACTTTCATGTATTACTTTGCTGGCATGTATTCATATTGTTGATATCGTTTAATACAAGATTACCAGATCAAGTCATTTTCGTGAATGATGCTTACTGATAAAAATCAAAATAGAGAGAGAGAGAGAGAGAGTGCTCAAAGAAGATAAAGAAAAGGTGAAATACATTTTGTAATCTTACTGAGTTGAGGAACTGGGACAAATTTAATTAATTACAGTGGCTGACCGCAAGAAAAACGGTGTGTGTGTAGAATAACTTGGCTTGAGAAAGTCCACAGGAATGGATGAAAGCTTGGCTAAAGGTTTTAAGGACTGTAGAAGCTTATAGTTCATTTTGTTCTTACCCCAACTTAACTTTTCGCATCATATAATATGTTGATTTTTGTTTTACAAAAGCAGAAATTTACCCGTTGACTACTGCATTGTGACAGTCGCGTATGCTTAATTCAGGGACCACCTGGGCAGCGTTTCATGAAACCGTCATAAGTACAAGTTCACCGACATCCCATTGAAACACGTGTTAAACTTAATACACGCCTTTCAATGAGATGTCGGTGAACTTGTACTTATGACGGTTTCATGAAACGCTGCCCAGGTTCCCGTAAATAAAGCGTTACAATATCCGAAACAGACGGATACAAAGATATCTGCATAGTTAATAGCTTTAAACAAAGACATGTTGAGTGGGACTTTTCGTCTTGCACTTGTCAAAGGAAAACGACAGAATACCGGATTAACTACGAAAACCAGCATGGAAAAACTTGATATTGTAAAGAATTATTACCTCTCCGGATCAAACTTCTCCGGTTCTGGCCAGTAGTCCGGATCGCGATGGATGTTGTAGACAGGAATGAAGACTTGGGTGCCCTTCTCAATCATCAATCCATTGTGTACAAAGGTCTCGTTACACATCCTGTTAGAACTGCATGGCGGAGAACAAAATTGGGGAGGGGGGTGTTTCACAAGATCCTAAGTCGAACTTAACTCTAAGTTGGACTTAAAAATTATGGAGACCCATTTGTAGCCTTATAATGAAATATATTCAAAAGCGAAAACTCAAGTATTTTAGATTTTTTTAAAATAAATTCCAAATCAAGAAGATGAAATCTCCTCGATAATATAAAATATGAATGATTTGAATCACCATTTTATACTTTAAGAAAAACTGTATATGTTTTAGGTTTGTCGAAGTATCAACATCAATCTTGAGAAAGAATATAGAAGATCTTACATGCCAGCGGGTGGAAACAACCGAAGTGTCTCGCAGACCACTTGATCCAGGTAGGGCATGGTGGCGATGGAACTATACCCGACGGAGTCGCGTGAGGGCGTCACCTCGTCAACCTCGCTGATAAGCTTCTCCTGGATATCTGGGTTCATGGACAACGCGTAGAAGATGAACCCAAGGAGAGTAGTGGTTGTCTCGGCTCCAGCGGTGAAGAAAATTAGCACCTGGCGGGTGTATCATAACCCAAATATTAAGACATGGGGCCAGTTTAACAAAGTCTTTTTCGATGACAAATTACAACTAGAAATTTAATTCGTCATGGGGACGAATTAGGTGGTCTGTCTTCAAGTATTTACTATATTGAGAAAGGGAGAAGTTATATAGACATGTAAACAATGATGATCATGATGATGATGATGGTCTTGATAGTAATGGGGATGACGACGATGATGATGATCATGATCATGATGATGTTGATGATTATCATCAACAGACCACGATGACATCAGACTGAAAAAAATGAGAGAACATTTAGATAGTATATAGTCTCAGCTACAACATACTAAAAAATCAACAAAAATCAAGCCGAAATAACGGCGATATTGCTCGCAAAAGACAAGAATGTAGAATCCAGATTTGAGAAAAAGTCATCTCCCATAAGGATTACACGCAAAAAGTAATGGATCTAGAGATAATAGGGTAATAATAAAGTAAATATGGTTGTTTATTACATTATTTGCGATTGTACGTGTTTTAATATTCAAAGGAGATGGTAGAGTGAATGGTCAAAAAGAAAAAAAAGTGAAGAAAAAAAAATTGTTGGAGACGCCCGGACTCGAACCAGGGACCTCGATGTCGGAAGTCAAGTGCATTACCGATATACCAAAACATTTCCCATAGAGATTACACGTAAACGGAAAATGGAATGCACAAATCCCACTTTGTAATTGAAATATGAGCATGATCCCGGCATCTGATCGAAAAATAAAGGCCACACTTGTGATAGCTTATTGTCTCAGCTACAACATACTCAAAGTTCAGCGTAAACAAAGCTAAAACGACGGAGATATTGCTCGCAAAAGACAGGATGTAGAATCCAGTTTTGAGAAAAAGTCATGTCCCATAGAGAATACACGCAAAATGTGAAAAATTGACATGCCTCCTTTAATCGCAAAAATACGCCATGATGCCTTTGTCAAAATGAAATATCGTGGTGACTGCATTTGTAGAGAATTGTCTCAGCTAGATCATATCAAAATTTGAAAGAAAATTGATCAATATTTACAGAGATACAATCAATTTTTCAAAAATCTGCTGACGTCATAATATGCAAATTGAAATTTTGAGTTCGGAGGCCATTATGATGACGTCATGAGTTAATTGAGGATCAAATGAGACATGAATTCATATCTCCAACTCATGCTTTTTCCAACCATGATATAAAAATTGGGGGTCAATGGACTATCTGAAGAGCTATTTTGATTTTTAAAATGGCATGTTTTTGATCAAATTTGCATTATATTGCCCATAGCAGCACGCGCGGATTTTGAACTTTGACGCGCGCTCACGGCCTTATGAAAGGTCAAGAGTGACTGAAATTAATGTAAATTGTCATTTACGGTAAGAGGAATCTAAATCATGTAAAAAAAATTAAATTTGACTTTTTACGCGCGCTGTGAGCGCGCGCAACGCGCGCGGGGACACTTACGGACGGAAAATTTTGAAATGCTTAAAATGACCTGAAACGTGTGCAAACAAAATTTGGGACGAATTGGAGCATTTTAAAAATTTTAAGCGGGCGTACGTGCGCGTCGAGGTGCGCGCACGGATTTTGTTGACATTTTTAGTTGACCTTTGACCGGAAGTTGATGTATACTAAATATGGTTTATTTTTGATTACTCGTTATTGAGATATGATAATGACCTGATTTTTACAAAATGGCGCCTGGATGACGTCACGATGACCCCATGAACTTGAAAAAGGTTTCGGGAACTTCATATCATAGGGCCTGATGACTAGCAGAAATTTGAAGGAAATTGACCAGGTCGAGTTCGAGTAAACGTATACACAAAAAAAGTGTACGGAATAAATAAAAATAAATAAAGAAAGAATAAAGAATAAAGAATAAAGAAAGAAAATTCTAACGAAATCAATAGGTGATCTGTCATCGACAGACCACCTAAAAATCAGTGACAAATCTGCTGATAACCAATCAGAAGCAAGGAATTCAGTCTTTTGTCACTGATGACAAGTTTTGTGAAACGCCCCCCAGGGCCTCGTCTTATAAAGATTTGCGATTGATTTTGATCAATCGCAAGTCCTCTAATCAATTGAAAGTTTGCAGTACCCTACCTCTTATGTACATAGTTGCCATTGATAAATAAATAACGATTACCGGTAATATCAACTCTTTATAGGACAGGGCCCAGGATCTCAGAGAATACGTGTAGCCATAATGGTAATGGTTAAAGCCAAACTGATCTTTGAGCATTTTCATAATCCACTAGTATAAACATGGAGTAAAACATAAAATCAATAATAGCCTACTGAGGAACTTATGTAGTCTAACAACCTGTTTGAGTTCTTTGTTCGAAAATAGTGTAATAATCATCGGGAAAATGACATTCTTTCCAAATTTATATGCCACGTGTCTGTCTGATGATATGCCACAGGAAAACAAATTTAATGCTGTTTTATGATCATAATCATCAGAGCCCCTCAAATTCATTGATTTTAAAGCCCATCTGTACTAGTGTACAGGAGGGATTAGACCACCCTGCAAAGTCACTGGACAGGTGGTTATCTCATCAAATCAGCTCTTAATTAAAATAGAAAAAGAGGATCATGGGGGACCAATGGTCACCGATTATGCATTGTTTGCTATATAGAGGGCGCAAGTAGCTATCAGTCGTGCAGTGGGACTTTAAATCTCTGAGGCGTAGAAGCCTCCCGACCGTTACCTGTGCAAACACTTCTTCATCGGTCAGAGGCTGCTTTCTGATCATAATCAACAGAACCCCTAAAATTCCTTAATTTTAAATCCCTGAGATCCAGAAGCATTCCGACCGTTACCTGTGCAAACACTTCTACATCGGTCAGAGGAGCTCCCTTGCCGAGACTCTTGGTGTGGTAGTTGACATCGTGATGCTTGTCCAAGTCATCATGGATGTCGTTCTCCTTGTCGTCCTCTACAGGGTCAATGGCCTTGTCGACTGTTTCCTGCTTCTGAGCATCGAGCAGCAATTGCAGGAAGTCAACCCTCTGCGTTGATAATAATAATAATAATAATTATAATCCAATCGAAAAGGAATTTTGATATAGCGCGTTACCTAGCAGCTGAAAAAGAGAGATGTTGTATCGCCCTCTAGGTGCCAAAACATGGGTCTGTCGGTCGGAAATCTTTTTTTTTTTATACTTTTTTTTCTTCTTTTTTCTCCCTCTTCGGGCTGATATTTTTCATTTTAGAATACTTGTTTTTCTCTAAAAACAGTTTACAAAAAAAAAGAAAAAAAGCCGACTGTAGATTTCAAGATTTTTTGGTCGGTCGCAAAGGGCAATACAACATTTTGTAGGCCTTATAAAGCGCTGCACACGTTGCTGCACACGTTTGTGCCACTTGAATAATAACATAATCTTTTCAAAAAATACCAATAATTTTGTTTACCCAGGGAAGCCTCATCAGCATCAATACTGTTCATCCTAAAGTTCCTTCAAATATCATTACCCCCAGCAACTGCCCGGTAGCTATTTACACCTGGCTAGAGAGTGGCTAATGTGGATTAACGTCTTGCCACTGGACGTCAGAGCCGGGCTGGGATTCGAACCCTAAACCCTTGGACTGAGAGTCAAGTCAAAGAACCACTATACCACGACACCTCCACGACACGTCCACGACGCCTCCACGACACCCTTAAGAATAGACAGTATAGGGAACATGTGCGTAGTGTAGGAAGGCGACCCGAAATTTGCTCCTGCCTCATCAATATTATTGTACCAGGCTTTATCTTCATTCTTCTTTTTCCATATCTTCCATTTCCCATTTCTTTCGTTAACTCCTTCTTCCTACATTCCACAGTTCTTTGCCCCCTACCCGCCTGTAAATTATTTATTCACAGAGCCAATCCACAACAAGCCTTGCTTTTTACTGTACGTCCCCACTCTGTACATATAATACACGAGTGATAAAACATTAAAACCTATTCATTATGTTGTAATTGACTTGTATGCTTTACTATAATAATTAGTATACTACATTAATATTAGGATAATTAATTAATCAATTATACAGATTATTGTATAGTTTAGTTTACTAACGAAGCAAGTATAATACAGATATTATGTTATAGGAGGAGGGTTAAGGTTGCAATAGGGTTTAAAGTTATGGTTAGGGCCGGGCTTGTGTTGTTACTCAAAAGTAACTACTGTGCCTTGTTGCAAAATCTTTTAGGGTAATCTTCCACCCACTACCCAGCCCCCCCCCCCCAAAAAAAAAAAAAAAAAAAAAAACCTACTTTAAAGTTTGATCCAGATACTGCTTCTTTTCTCAGGTTGATAGTTTTCTTGGTGACGTCATTGAAGAAGTCGAGCACATCAGCAGGAATCAACATTGAGATCCTATGATTAGCCATAAGTCTCCCTAACGATGGAATCAGACCTTACAAAAGTTTAGCAAAAAAATAATAATTAGGAATGAATGATGAATTAAACAATTTAAAAGTAATAAACAGTAGTAAGTGCGATGTTTCCTGGTGCACAAGTGTTATTTCTTTCCAATATTTGTTCTTCTTACCATAACAAAGCGGAACATTATTTTTGGTTTTCAAAACAGCTTACTGAATCACCTGATCAGGTTGTCCCCATTCATGTTTTCTGAGTACCAGTGGCGTATCCAGGCCTTGGTATCATCAGGGGGAGGGGGGAAACAAAACATTTCAGCTTACTGTTATCCATTTTGAGGGTCCCTGTTTCATAAAACTTGTTATCAATAACAAATGCTCTATGGTCAGTGGTCTAAATTCGACCCTCCTCTGTGAACGGAAGTGTGTCTACAGCGGACTTGAGGATGATTACAATCCAACCCCCCCCCCCCTAAAAAAAGATAAATAAATAAATAAATAAATTCTAAAGTCGAAACTAAATAAATTTCATACTTCCTAGGATGAAGAGTGGTTTCTGGAAGTCAAACTTGAAAGCGCTTTTCGCGTTCGTCACAAATGGGTTACCGGGATTCGACTGCGAATCGATGTTGAGACCGAACGCACAGCTTCCAATCGTGTCCATCACGAAAGATCCGAAAACCCTGCAGAAAATAAAGAGTTCCTGTGAATTGATATATCCCAGTAGACCGCCGACCGCCAGCCCATGAGAAAAATAATTTCGGTCCAGTGAACATACAAGAAAGCTAACAGAAACCCGGCGAGGCTGTTTCGTTTTGCTTTCGGTCAGGTGGACCCTCAGTTAATCTTTCACAACGTTTGTTGGTTGGTTTGTTTTCTTTACCTGACTGCTAAAAAAGCAAGCAATTAAGCAGGGGGCAGGCGGCTGTCTTCTGCGAGGGACTAGTTAATGAAAGTAGATGTCTTATACCAAAGGGCACTATAGCGCATGGAATTGGTTTCGAACTCGGGACCTTCTGGTTACGAGACCACCGATCTGCACTGAGCCATCGCTCTACCTGTGGACTGTGGGCATCGCAGACTGTCGGTCTCATGGACCGATTGTATGCTGGGCTGCCTGTCTCTTTGGCCATCGGTCTTGGGGACCGTAGTCTCTTTGACTCTCATGGTAATCTATTATCCGAAAACAGTGAATTCACACGTCAAACTATATTTATCGTGACGGTCGTGAACGTGCATACATATTATAACAATGTACACATATATAGATATATATGGATATATCCTAGGACACAAAAATGGTTTAAGCTTATGAACCACAGTGTTTTGATTGATCTCCCCCTCCCATCCCCTTTATTTCATACATTATCTTCGCATATTGGCTACCAGTATCAATATGATAAGAATACTGTCTATCATAGAAATGTTTCATTTAGTTGCTGGGGGTAGAATTTAACATTTCTGTGCTTCTTAACGGGATCGTTTAACAATGTTAAAGATAAACTTGAGTTCTGGTAATGCGATTGCATTGTGAAAGAAAAGGTGTGGAATGGATCAGAAAAGTTGATCATATAGCATGTAAGTAATGGTGTGTAATGCAAGGTTCTGGAGTCATCAAAATCATCATAAATTTGGCAGAGTTTTGGTAAAGTAACAATCACTTACACAGAAAGATGTATATGGGACAACACACATGGTGTCGGGGCTGGTACTACCCTGATTTCCTTATCTTTCTATGCTCATTACTCAGCCAGTATACATTTTCTTCCAAAATTGTTTGGCACATGACATTTATTTGTAATCTTGAACATTCAGTGTAAGTTTCGTTAGATTCTGTGAGAATTCATTTTCTTTTTTTTACCAGAACTCAAGTTTATCTTTAAATCTGAGATGCATGGCCCTACGTGTTATCAGTGCCTGTGATAATATGGTGTTATTTCGAAGCCCTAAAAAATTGCGCTTCAAAATGATCAAGAAGCGCCTCAAAAAAGTAAAAACCTTTGAGTGACCGGTTTTACCATACTCATTTTCCCCAATAGACTGTAGTGTTATGAAAACCGTTTGGCAAACGCAAAATTTGATTTCGATTTTCAATCATAAATATAAAAAATAAAAAATAAAAAATGATAATCAGACAGGCGATCGGCTTGTAAAAATCATGGGGTTCCTGACTGACCTAAAGGTTTATAATTATCATTGCAGCATAAGCTCAATCAAGGATTTTTTTTAAGGATCTAAGACAAAGTTACCGGATCCTTTAAAAATAATATTAACGACTCACTCTGGGCATTCAATGCGTCCTTTCTCTGTTTGCTTGATGCCGATGTACTTCACCAAAGTGTCTGCGTTGGTGTTAATGAGACTCGACATCTTAGAATAAAGGAAAATAAAAGACAACATAGTTATAATCAAAAACATAGTTTAAACCCGGGGCAAACAAGGCGTCTTTCCATTTTTGTAAGTGGATCAGCCACCGCTGGGTTTTTATCGCCCCATATGACGGTGAAAATCGAACGAAAAGCGATCGCAAACTGAATAGATGTAATAATGTTTTAAGAACTTGCGTAAAGGAATCCAACTTGAGATTGTATGAGGGAAGAAACTTGATAGCGTACGTGTGCGCGTGTCACAGCTATCTCTGTAAATACGCTATGGACGTGCCGATTTCGCGTCCGATCGACGGTATATTGTCTTATGTCGAAAAAAAGCACTACTTTCAGCGATAATGGAAATCGACATTGATCTTAACTGATAATCATTTTAGCTGTCATCCTGTCTAATACCATGTTCTTGACTGCTGCCAACTTTATGCTTGGACTGACATATTGTTTTATGTATAGTTTCCATACTTATGCAGTTTACATGTGATAAAGATCGAATAGAGCAGTCCATTGCATGATGGGAAGACCGAACAAAGCGAGGAAAGAGTCGCTAAAAAAGACTTACCTGTTTCATCTTTGCTGCGCTGAATGTTGGGGTTAGAATGTTCCTGACTTCCTTCCAGCGCTCGCCTTCCAGAATGGACACCATGCTCCTTAACTCCCCGGCAGCTTGGGGTATATCCTGTAAGAATATTAAGACATAATGGGAGGGGGCGTTTCACAAAACTTGTCATCAGTGACAAGTGACTGTTTTTGTTATAAGCTACTGGAATCCTTGCTTTTGATTGGTTATCAGCAGATTTGTCACTGATTTTTGTCATTTGTCATTGAAAAAAGGCTTTGTGAAACAGGTCCCTGGTCTACACTCGGCATTTTCCATTGTCCCGACATGGCAACATTACCAATTAGTGGGTGTACATCTCGCATGCAGCGAAACTCGCCACCATGCGCCTGGTAATTTCTCTCGAGTTGTGAGCTCTTTATTGCTAGTAGGATCGTAACAACAAGCAAACCAAAGTGATTGAATTTATTTTACGTACTTGTGTTCATTCAAAATACCTAATATTACCATTGTTTATCATGTAAACTAAACCGATCATGTGTAACGTGAAAAGCGAAATATGATAAAGGGAAATGGAAATTGCAGACTTTGTGATCGAATGTTTTGAGTTTAACGTTAAAGATAAAATTGAGTTCTGGTCATGCGATTGCATTGTGAAAGAAAATGTGTGGAATGGATCAGAAAAATAAGTATTGTTGTGTACTGCAAGGTTCTGGATTCATCAAAATCATAATAAATTTGGTCCAGTCTTGGTAAAGTAACAAGCACTGTACACAAAAAGATGTTTGTAGGACTACATAAATGGTGTCGGTCTTACTTATCTTGATTTCCTTATCTTTCTATGCTCATTACTCAGCTAGTATATTACATTTTCTACCAAAATTGTTTGGTAAATAAATTTATTTGTAATCTTGAACATTCAGTGTAGGTTTCGTTTGATTCTGTGAGAATTCTTTTTTTTTTTTTTTTACCAGAACTCAAATTTATCTTTAAGACAGTTTGGGAACCTTACTACTCTGCTGTGGAAGCTGTTGAAGTTCTTAACGGTGATGCTGCGTAGCATTTCAGGATCACCAACCACAAGCACGGGAGTTCGAAAAGAATATATCCTGTTAGAAAAGAGAAAATAAAGCCCCCTCTAAAGTAATAATAATAATGATAATAATGATAATAATAATAATAATAATGATAACAATTATAATGATAATGATAATAATAATAATGATAATAATAATAACAACAATAATAACAATGAAAATGCTGATGGTGATGAAGATGATGATGATGATAAATAATAATGAAAATAAAATGATAATAACAATCGTTATCATCATTATCATAATCATGATAAAAAATAATTATATTTATGAAAAAATAATACTTATGATTAAAAATAATAGTAATAATAACAATAATAACTACATTTTAACTACTACCCCGAAATATATTATTATATCACCTAGTAGATAACCTAGTAGATTGCCTTTTAACTAATTTCTCCGTACCTATTTCTGATTGAATTTGGAAACCCCATGAAAACACACCCCAATATATCATCCCGGCCACTAACCCCCCCTCCCCCTCTCTACCCCACCCCTGCCTCTTCCCCTTCCGTTTGGTATATGGGTAGTTGTCTAAGGGCAGTTGCCTGTCATTGCAGTCAGGCAAAACTGGTAGTTGTCCTAGAATTTAGTGTATACATAGTCAAGTGAATGATCCCCTCCCCCCCCCCCCCCACCCCTGTCCCTTCCCCCTCCCCTGGGGGGAAAAACAGATAAAACACGTTAAATTTACCTATACTTGTTTTAAAAAAGAAGACCGGCCCCCTCCCCTGGAGCTCAAGAGGGAGAGGCGATTTTCAAATTTTCGGGGGTTGGCTTTTTCGCCACGACATATATATGATGATATTTCACTCACCCATACACCTTGCCATGCTTTTCCTGCATGACCTCGAAGGCCTCAACAACACCCTGTTTATAAATTAGAATATATTATATACACATTTGTATGAATACATCACGTATACATGTACACATTTACATTATATATATATATATCCTTGATATGATATGTATGCATTAAAATGAACATACTACCATACAACACCATGATAAGTCTGCTACAGTGTTGCTATGATGAAATTAAATGCTGTCGGCGAGACAACATCCCCAACCTAGCTCTCATTACCCCCCCCCCCCCCCATCCCCGGCTATGAAAATCGTGCCCGTGTACTTACTATACGGCTTTTAATTCATGATATAATCACTCTATATTTATTACGATTTTCCTGAGGAAGGTAGTGACAGATTATTCTCCGGAAATATGTTAATATTAGGCTTCATGTGCCTATTCTTCTTGCAGGCTCAAAACATATAATAACTTTATATATATATTTATTTAATTAACCAATTAAATTTCTCTTGGAACAGGTGACTGTATGGGACTAATTTGGACTAATTGATCAAGATTCTCTTTCGGTGTGAAATCGCCCATTTTACATCCGGCCTCTCAAATTTGAAACTAAGTATCATAGGCGCCCATTAGAGGTGAATACCGGCGCTGTACAAGAAACCAATTATCATAAACATAATGATCGTTGAGGGAAATATTTCTCGTTTTATAATCAGTGTCTTATCTGACATTTGTGTAGAATATTACAATTTTAGATCTCATTTCTGTTTTCTAGATTGGGCGGTCGTCTCCCCTTCCCACCTTCCATCCGTTTGTGGACATTTTAGTAGTCCTCTATAATTATACAATGTACATGTAATCAGATAAGAGGAACTTGTACATGCTTCTGTTTAATCTCGCTTAGATTGTTATAATTCTATTCTCCTTATTAGTTGTCCCTAAGACGCGAAGTTCCTGGGGGGATAGAGCCTTTTTTCATTCTGGCCCGTCTCTTTGGAATAAGCTCCCACTCAGTATTCGTAGCTTAACAGCCCTCCCTGACTTCAAAGTTGCTCTAAAAACCCTTCTCTTTCTTAACAGTTCTATTTAATAATGACGATTATAACTGTGGCGTAATAAATTGTGTTACTTTATTTTACTTCAGTTAAGAAAGTGATATGTTCGTGATTGTGATATGTACAGCACCATTAGCGTCAGAGCCTGTCAGATACCGGCGCTATATAAATATTTATATTATTATTATTATTATTATAATGATTTATAATGACAATGATACACATGTCACTAACCTTAGCGAAGACTCTCATATTAGCGATGATTGGAAGAGGGGGCTCAAAGGGTATCCCTCGCCGCTTCCAGTATCCGTGGGCCCAGTAGTCATTTCTGCCGAACAAAACAGCAAAATCATTTCAAATTCGTTTTGCCATAATTTTCATTTAATAGCCGAAAAGACAATGACCCAAAGCGGATGAAAAAGTATTTTAGTTCACGATCACTCACTCTCGCGTATACACAAAGAACAAATCCTACTGCGTACCATATATTTACACGGGCTTTAATACTTGTTTCGTTAATCACGGATTTCAATTAAGGTCAGTGTAGCTAGGTGGTGTAGATACACATATCGACCGAAAATCTGTCTGCTTGGTGCATTTTGGTAAAACATATTTCTTGTCTTTTGACACTCGGTGACGCCAGACGTAGTCTCAGCAGAACATAATTATCCTCGAACGAGATACAGACTGATCTTCTAGACTATTTTCTTTTTCTCGATCAAGTTCACACCGCTCTCGCCGCTTGCAATAGCGAACTAGTCTGCAGGCACAGTCTCTAATTTTACATGTTCTCCAGGATTTTATATCAAAGCCTTGAGCAGGGCCTAGTTCTGTCAGTCTCTGTCTGTATTTGGAGATAGAAGCTGAGGTACAGAGCTTTGCATTGTGCTGTCAAACTAGTCTCACAAAACAGTCACTGTTATGTACAGCGGCTGACAACGGTTTGTGCATGCAAACTAGTTATCTGCCAATGGCGAAGGCTGGTTAGTGATTAACAAATAGATAATTTTGGTCACAGGATTTATAATCATATGTTCAGTAATCATACGTACAGTAAGAGTAGGACGATGAAACCCAGAGCGATCAGGACCAAGAGCGATGTCAACGACATCGCGTTTCCAAGCACCTCGACCTCCATTTCGAATTTGATTTTACAATCGTCTAGTACGGCGATTTGAATGTATACACGGTACCGCTAGCCCACCGACTGTTTCAATTCTATGTCTCGAACGGTATATATTGTCCATATTTAGAGAGAATTGTGTTTTTCAATGGGTTTGCAGTTTGAACCCTTCGCTAGTCTGTGGGCCCAGACCTTTAACTCTGCGGTGTTCTGAACTTTAAATAATAATAATAATAATGATAATATTTAGCTTTTATATAGCGCTTAATACAATGTATCTAAACTGTGTTATCTTTACATGTATGGTCAGTGGCAGAGCAAGGGGCACAACCGGCTTGTTACCCCCCCCCCCCCTCCCACCATGTTGCATACTTTGTGTACCCAAATAAAACAATGAAAATGTGCCCCATTAGTTGTTTTATCTCTTAACCCCTTTCAAATCCTAGACCAAAAGGCACTCACAAATCTGAAAACCTTTTTAATGAAACAGTATTGTAAATTGTTCTTGTTGTTGACTTTCATCAATCAATATCTTCACTATTATCTATTTCACTTAGTTCTTACTTTTCCGAGAATTTCTGAATTGTGCCCCGTGTCCTTTAAAGGATCCTAGATTCAACCTTGTCTATAGCTCTGCATTTCTTTATTTTCCTACATGAATTTGGCGCTGAATGAAGCCTTGAATGAAGACGACTAGATGCGAAAGTTCGTATGTGTCTTCATACGGTCTGTGTTGGTAGACTATTATCGTGAGATCGAAAGACTAACATGACGATGACGTATTATGTTATATTTATGCCACCGTGTTTCAGAATGCGTGGCAATTTGCTAGGATATTGCGGGAGGCATGCACTAATGGAGAACCGCCCACCTCCCTCCCCCCCCCCCCCCCTCCGCCCTACTCCTCCCCCAAATATATTTAATATGATATAAAATAAAGAAATAAATGAAATAAATACATTAATGACAGAACCAACGTGAGCGTTTTACTATAAAAACACCACCCCCCTTTAAATTTCCCTTCGAAATGTAATAAGTAAATCGAAACAAATACTATCTCTCTTTTTGTAATCCCACCCCCCATCCCCCCCCCCCCCCCCCCCCCCCTCCTCTGCCCAATGAAGGAACCTGGGGAGAGTCTGGAGACGACTGGGAAGATTCCCGTTGAATTACAGGGGGCGTTTCACAAATTTGTCATCAGTGACAAATGACAGTTTTGTTATAAGCTACTGAAATCCTTGCTTCTGATTGGTTATCAGCAGATTTGTCACTGGTTTTTGTCATTTGTCATTGAAAAAGGGCTTTGTGAAACGGGTCCCAGATCTCTACCTCTACCACCTCCCACAAGCTTGGCCCAGATACTCAACTAGAGTAGAACACCCCCTCCCTTTTATACAATTCTGGATCCGCCCCTGGTATCTTATGTGAAAACACTGTTGCTCCATAAAAAGTTGGAATAATTTTCCGTCACCTCTATTTGTGAACTGATTGTGACAATATTTGTTTTCATAATAAGTTGATATCTTCTTAAAGCTTTAACGATGAATGATGATTTAGATGCTTTGGATCGACTATCAAACGTTTGAGAACACAGACACTTTATAATATTGTCCCATTTAATAATAAGTAGAGGTCATCTTCCAAACAGTTATGCCTGTGTAAACAAAATTAGTGCAACTATTCGTGGACTTTGATATCTGTAATATATTTGGCATATGACGTCATGGATATTCTTAGATTTCAAGTCAAGTGGCTGTAAGTGTAGTCTAGAATCTGGCCGGTTCTTGCATAATTTATCTTTTCCCTAAACTTGCTGCAAGCCGCCGAAGATGGCGTTATCAACAAACTCGTAAGCCCAGCCTAAGATTTTACTATCCTGTAGTACAGGCTGTACAAAGACTTTTTGCCGAGCGTCTTAATTCGAGGATCACGCCATCTTCGGCTGGCAGCGAGTATATTAGGGGGCCGGGGGGGGGGGGCGTCATTTTTTTCCGCGGCACAGATTGGGGCTTTTTTTTTTAAAAAGAGGTCTTGATTTAACCCTAACCCTAACCCTAACCCTAACCCTAAACTTTCCTATAGGCTCAACACGCACCTAACCCCAATCTGTGCCGCAGAAAAAAATAACGCGGCCGGGGGTGGGGGGGGGGGGGTGTTGCATTGTGTAGGTGAAGATTGTTCAAATGAAATTAGCCAGACTACTAAGAGCTGATTCTTTAACAAGAATGAATAAGTTAGCTTGCAGTCATCGTTCTGTGCAAAGAAATAATAAGTTCTATTTCGAGATCAAAACTAAAGGCAGTTGTTGAATAACCACCCCTTCCCGCCCCTTATCCGTTCTCTCTCTCTCTCTCTCTCTCTCTCGCCCCCGCTTTGTCTCCTATGAATTCATTTTCGGTAAAATCATGAAAATCGTGAATGGATGTAAACAGAAGTTTAGGGAATAGGCTTACAGTATGTTGGTATATAGTTTAATCTTGTTTTCACGTCCCCCCCCCCCCATCCCCGCCCTCCTTCTCTCTCTCTCTCTCTCTCTCCCTCCCTCTCACTCTCTTTCACTCTCCCTCTCTCACTCTATTTATCTTTCGCTCTCCCACTCCCTCCCTGGAGCACTATTCTACTTATAATAGGCTACACTCATACAAGATCTCCCCTTTTACTCATTATTTAGTTAGACTATATAACACGATCATGACGATGGTAATTACTTTCGAAAAATCGACCAAAGAAAATTTCAATAACCATGTTTGTCAAATTTTATATGTACCATAATTCGAACATGATTTCTATGGGGCATTGCCCTAGATCTTTTTTTTTTTGTAACTTAGTTGCCATCATGTTATTCATCTTTTTTCCAAACACGTCCGGGGTACTTTCTTTATCAAAGTTACATACTATAAGAGATAAAGAAACAAAAAATAGCGCAAGGCACATTATATACAGTGCGTCCCAAAAAAAACTATACACTTTTGAAATGGCTGCCAAATAAAAAAAATATATGATTCGTGGGGGAAAGTTGTATATGTATGGAAAGCTCATAAACCCAACGTTCATATGACACCAAAAGGTCCGAAAATAATTCATGCTTGGGTGAGCACTGCTCATTTTTGTACAGGGTATGGAAATTAGGTTGCGCAGGAATTAGCCTTCCAATTTGTGAGAGGTAAATCCTTTGGAGCTTACAAAATTGAGGGTGATATCATACATTCATGATTTGCTGAGTGAATTTCATGGTCTATTAAACCAAACTTTTATGCATGAGTAAACAGGAATTGCATTTTTTATTGTAGCATTGTAAATTTCCCTGGTAGACTCAGTGGTGTGTTCATGGGAGTCAGGATGGAGTGATGGTACATGTTGTAATTTCCGTGTTACAAACTGTTTTCTTTTGTTACATCTGTGACTGTGAATAAAAACCTTTACCAAGATTGTGCATCGAAAGAGGAGGTGGACATATGGGCCATTGTTTCCATTTTCAGATATTTTCTCCCCTTTTTTCTCTTACAAGATGGACGAAACAGTTGTTAAATTGAAAACTGACATGTTCATTTTACAAACTTGTGAATTTGTGTTTAACTGTGCCGTATTTCTTGTGCGAAACTCAAGTGTAATGACTGGTTGGTCGGTTGATAGGTTGAGTGATTGACTGACTTATTTATTAATTATGATCGATTTATTGAATGATTAAATTGATTGAAATACTGAATGGTGATTGAATGCTTGATTGATTAATTGATTGACCGATTGACTGATACATTGTTGATTAAGTGATTGATAGCTGAATGTTGATTGTCTAATGGATTGTTAAGATATGCACAAGCATACCCAGGCAGAGAGAGAGAGAGAGAGAGAGAAAGAGAGAAGGTGGAGGGGCATACATGTCCTCTTGACCCTTATCCAATCTACCCAACAAAGTCCTACCCTACATTTCACCTCCCCTGTACCATGCACCATCACCCCGTCCTGACTCCCATGAAAACACCACCGAGTCTACCATGGAAAGTTACATTGCTATACGGTAATAACAAATGCAATTCCTGTTCACTCATGCATACAATTTTAATCCCATGAACCACAAATTTCACTTAGCAAACCCAAACTCATCACAATTGATCATAAATTGGTCATATTATTCTCAATTTCATAAGCTCCAAAGGATTTACCTGTCACAAATTGGAAGGCTAATTCCTGCGCAAACTAATTTCCATACCCTTTACAAAAGTGAGCAGTGCTCACCCAAGCATGAATTATTTTCGAACTTTTTGGTGTCATATGAAAGTTGGGTTTATGAGCTTTCCATACATATACAACTTTTCCCCAAAGAATATTATATTTTTTATACGGCAGCCATTTCAAAAGTGTATAGTTTTTTTTGGGACGCACTGTATAACATAAGTGGGGCGAAGTCCAAGGAATTAAGCAGATTTATCTATATTGTACTGAATAAGGAATAACATGATTCATCAAATCGCGTGCAGACACACGGTGGCCTTTCGTACTTTGGGAGCTTTAACCACAATTAGTCTCAATCCAGCCTTTCTACTCCCGGACCACTGTAAATTTCTTTTTTCATAAGCAATTGTTGACATCTCATAGTTATATGGCGTCTGACATGAAGACTAGTCTATCGCATTTCCAAAAACAATCCCCAAAACAACTTCGTTTTGCCAAATGCAAACAAACGTTTTCAACTCAATTCAATTCAAATGTAAACGACATTGTTGCTATAGTCTATAGAGCCATTGTATCATGGTTATAAAGGGCAACTCTTCTCTCTTTTCCCCCACAATGAACACTGCAACGATTCTCTCCATATTTTTATCATTATTTTTTAAGTTGTTCTGATGGATCCAGGCAGCGGCGTGAGAGGAAAGTCAAAATTAGAAATTTGTTCATTGATATAACCCACCCCCCCCCCCCTACACACAGTCACGCACAAACACACTCACACACATTTACGAATGTCAATGAATGATGTCGACTCTTTTAATCAATTTCTGTTCCTATCATGTTGTTCGTTTTGGGGCACTTGAGATTTGCTTTTGTTCTGTTTTTATTCATTTGGTCACCTGTCACCTTCCCAATGTG